TACTGCAGACCTGTGGGAGACCCAGGCTGCAGGCATTGGCCGTGGTGAAGTTACTTCTTTGAGAGGCAGAAAGAGGTAAGTAGAAAAAAAAAAATACTGAAGAAATGCTTAAGGGAGTAACTCAGGTTGAAATGACAATATTCTAGGCAGTAAATCAAAGTATATAAACCTCCCTGATAATGTTCATAAATAAGTACAGCTCACTGAAACACTGGATTGACAGAAGGTGACTCACCTTCCATCAATATAAAAAGTAAGACAGAGATGAATTAAAAACAACTAGAACTACAAAAATATGTTAGTGGATATACAAGGTGAGATGTAAACTGTTGCAGAAGTCCAAGTGCAGAGTTTTTGCATGCAATTGTAGTTCTTAGCAGCCCAGCATGCACTACCCCAAGTATATGATGTTTCATGTGAGTGCCATGATAACCACACAAAGCTAAAGAAGAAACACGAGCCGGCGCCGCGGCTCACTAGGCTAATTCTCCGCCTGCAGCGCCGGCACACCGGGTTCTAGTCCCGGTCGGGGCACCAGATTCTGTCCTGGTTGCCCCTCTTCCAGGCCAGCTCTCTGCTATGGCCTGGGAGTGCAGTGGAGGATGGCCCAAGTCCTTGGGCCCTGCACCCCATGGGAGACCAGGAGAAGCACCTGACTCCTGGCTTCGGATCACTGCGGTGCGCCAGCAGCTGCGGCCACTGGGGGGTGAACCAACAGAAAAAGGAAGACCTTTCTCTCTGTCTCTCTCTTTCACTGTCCACTCTGCCTGTTTAAAAAAAAAAAAAAAGGAAACACGAAAGAAATCACAACATAGATATTATTTTTAAAAAATGAAACAGAAATAAAACAGGAAGAGAAACAAAAGACAGGCAGTAGAACTAGATGACTGAAAGAAATCCATTAACAAAAGTACAATGGTGAGTTCTTCTCTTTCAATAAATACTTTGAATGTAAAAGTACTAACCTCCCTAGTCAAGATACACAGTGGGCAAATGAGAAAAAAAAGTACCCACAAAAAGCTACAAGAGACGCCTGTGGCTTTAAGGACAGACCTGGAATGAAAGTGAAGGGATGAAACAGACATTAAATGTAAACGGTAACCCAAAGAGAGCAAGCATGCTCCACTTGAATCCGATAAATTACACTGTAGGTCCAAAAATGTCACCAGATGCAAAGAAATTGACATTACATAATGATAAATGAGTAACTGTCAGAAACAAGCACCAATTATGCAGCCAACCTCTCACCTAAATATATAAAGCAAACGTTGACAGAAATGAAGGAAGAAATAGCACAAATACAACACTTACAGATGATTTCAATGCTCTACCACCTGTCATGGATAGAATATCCAGAAAGTAAGTCAATAAAGAAACAGCAGATGTTAACATCACAGATGAAAAGGAACTGCTGGGATATAAAGAACATTCCAGCCTATCAGCAACAGAATCTGCATTCTCCCAGAGCGCATATGGAACACTGTCCAGCATTGGTCACTTTGAGTCACAAAACAAGTCCTAACAAATCGAAGGCTACAATTACATCAAGTGTCATCAGTAGCAGCATGAAAATCGAAAAATTCACAAGTAGCTGGAAATTAGAAACAAATTTCCAAGCAATTTCTGAGTTAAAGAAATGAAAACATTAGTTAGAAATCAACATACACAACATATCCAACCACGGGATGTAGTGAAAGCACTACTAGGAGTACAGCTCAGAACAATGAAGTACTCCATTAAAGATCTCCAATTAGCAACCTAACTTTATACTTCACGGAACTACAAAAAGCACAAACTACGCCTAAAGTTAACATAAGGAAGGAAAAGTAAGATTTATAGCAGGGAAAAAAATGAGTAGAAAGATGAAAGGAAATAATGAAACTAAGTTGGTGTTCTGAAAACATAAGTGAACGTCACAGAACTTTAGTGAGACTATTGACCCAAACACAAAGGAGACTAGCATGACCCATCAGCTGGATAAACTAAAAGTAAATTCCTAGAGATACAGAACCGATGAAGACTGACTCCTAAGAGAATCAGAAACATCTCCCAAATACAGAAAACCCTTGAGAATACGGCATCAATGAGAAATTCTACCAAATAAATGAAAATTACTGGGAACCCTCAAAACACATTTCCCAAGAGATTCCATGTGCTGGGGCACGCCAGGAGGCTACAGTTTCAACCCTTGCCTTCACGGTCAGCCTTGTTGGGTCTTTGCCTGGCAGGTGATTGTGCTTCAAAAATTCCAGGAATATTTTTCACATTGAGAACTTCTCAAAGCCACCTGTGGCCATCACATTGCCCTGTCCCAGGCAGGTGACAGGATAAAGGACTGCTGCACCTGTGTTTCACAGACCTCCTGGACACAGGCCTTTTCCCCTCTTTCCAGCCATGAGTCAGCCCAATCATCAGTAAGCCTTGCAAAGCACTAAGGACTTTGCAGGAAGCCTTCAGACCAGTCAGGGAAGTCAGAGTCACCTGGGTCTAAGTCCTTTGTGCAGCTCCACGCTTGATCTGTCCCTTCCTGTGGCTTTGACATGGTGGGCTTTCCTAGTTTCCACCACTGTCAGGCTACTACTAGTCAAAGTGTATATGCAGTTTGTGAGAAGGGCATGGGCATAAAGCAAGCCAAAACTCTACAAACCTGCTATTCGTACTGAAATTTAACCCTTTTGCTTGAACAAGCATTAGAACTGTTGCAAATGTTTAATATTCCAAGAAAGTTGATTTTGACTACTTTTGCTAATGCTTTCTTTTCCTTTATAAAAAAGGTGATTTGTGGAGGTCCTAAGCAGAAATTACACTTAGCCTCTTCCCTTCAAAGCGTATCAGTGTATGCTCCATTTCTTTTTAGAACCTTGAAAGATTTAAATAACATTTCATCTCTTCGGAATTCATTTTACTACATAGAGCCCAGAAGGAAGTAAGTAGTCAGCTGTCATTTTCTAAGTTACTCAGGAATACCCTAATGATAATTTAGGAAAAGCTATAGACCACCTCAGCAGAGGAAATTGTACATAGATGTGGTTTGAAACAAAACTGCAGTAAAATCACAGACTGCCCAAGCCCTTCCAGGCACTCCAGATAGAACACTCCGGTTCAGTTTATCCTACATAATTTGTACCATCAGCTCTACAGTGTTTGTAAATTACACGCAAGCTGGATCACGTTCCTAGGTTCTCCCCTGTTCCAATGGGTCGTCTTCACTGTCTGTTCCCACAACACCGTACAGCAGTGATTCCATCCAGCTGCTATACAGGTTCTCGTTGCACCTGCTGTGCCTCTAAAATGCATTTGCTCCCTGAAGCACTACTCACCTCACAGCAGGGCTCAGCTTCATTGCTAGCTCCTTAGAGAGCTGCCACCAACTCCATGGTGCACGCACGGGTTCCCTCACTCTCTAGCCCCTCACACAGGTTCAGTGTTGCAGACACTGCTGATTACTTGACATCACAGGACACATTTATTACTTTCCTATCAGACTTCTACAAAAGGATGCATTATAATTATTTTTTTTTCCTACTGCTGTGTTTCCAGAAATGAGTACTGTGCCTGGAACATACCAGGCAAGCATTTCCATTATTAATGTAAAAGATCAAAGAATAAATTTTTTTTTTTTTTTTTTCTTTTTTCTCTTTTTTTTTTCGACAGGCAGAGTGGACAGTGAGAGAGAGAGACAGAGAGATTTGCCGTTGGTTCACCCTCCAATGGCCGCCGCTGCAGCCGGCGCACCGCGCTGATCCTGGCAGGAGCCAGGAGCCAGGTGCTTTTTCCTGGTCTCCCATGGGGTGCAGGGCCCAAGCACCTGGGCCATCCTCCACTGCACTCCCTGGCCATAGCAGAGAGCTGGCCTGGAAGAGGGGCAACCGGGACAGAATCCGGCGCCCCAACCGGGACTAGAACCCGGTGTGCCGGCGCCGCAAGGTGGAGGATTAGCCTATTGAGCCACGGCGCCGGCTCATCAAAGAATAAATTGACCACAGCAATTTGTTCGGCTACTCTGCTGGTAGAAATAAACAACAAGGGATCCAACTTCTTTTGCTTCCCAAGGAAAGTAAGTTGTTAATTTCCTAGGACTCTGATGCTCTCAGGGGCTAACGGAATTGCTCGGCTGCCGTACAATCAAACATACCGCAAAGAAAGGAAGCGAGCTGTTTAAAGGCTGAGAGCACAAGACAGCACCACCTACCTTTTGCGAACCTGAGAATTACCTGGAAGCACTGTTCTGTAAATATCATTCTCTCTGCCATATGTATTCCCTGTTAAACCCCCTCAGTCATGTAGCAAGTAACTGCTCTGTGCACACACACAGGCAAATATACACAATCTCTAGTGAAACAGGCAAATATCTGCAACACTGTTATCTTCCCAATGCTCTGAACCCACAGCGGATAACCTGTGCTGGGTCTCACACTCTGCAGTGTTTCCTGTTCACCCCCAACACACTAGCAGAGAGGCTCTCTGAGAGGCCTGCTGACTGATTCATGGCCCCCTGCCCCCTGCTCAGTCCCATGGGTGCACATCTACACGACCTGAGAACAGGGGCTGCAATCAGATACTTGAGTATGTCGGTCTGCATGTATCGTTGATGAGACCACAGGGAATACTTTCAAGGAGTTTATACCTCAATTCCACAGAGGTGAATCATATATACAAGAGAGACTTAAAAATTAAACGGTTTTTCCACGCAAGCATACCATTTTATATTCACTGTCTAAGTATGTATCTGTTTATGAAAAGAAAAACGTTAGGGTAGACGCAATGACTGCATGTCAATTTTATCCTGACATTTCTGAAAAAAGAGTTTAAAAGGTAAAATAGTAAGATACCAAGCATACAATGTCAGAAGTTTGAAAGCACATCAAAATATTTAAAACTATCAGTTTGAAATATTAATGACAAAATAATGAAATGTTGCTATGTAGCTCCTGAAAGCACATTTCATTTTGAGAAAATAAGGAAAAAGGAGATGTTTATAAAGAGTTAATTGTACTAACCTGACTTATTTTCCTTTGTTCCTGCACAGCTTTTTGAATTGCCTCAGATACTTTTTCTTGATCTTTTGCATGCTCTGTCTTCCACAATTCCCTTTCTTCAGCATGGACTTTTTCCAAATTTTTCCTTTCTTCTTCTATGGCTTTTAAAACCGCATCCTTCACTGCTTCTTTCTCAAGCTTCAAAACAAATAATGATCAAAATAAAAATACTGGAAAGAGAGACTGCACTGTGATTACTTGAACGAGACAGTCCTGGTTAACCTACAAGACACAAAGCTTTGATCCTATAGGGTACAGTCCTGACGCTGCTGTTTCTGTGCATATTACATAATAAGAGCTGTAAGACAGAAATCTATTGTTTTTATACAAATATTTCTACTTAGTTTCATGGTATTTCTGACCTCCAAGCCTTAGCTTAAAGTAGCAGATTTTAAATCATGTGGTGTCAACATCCCTTTAAAATTTTCAAAATTATTGAGGACATCAAAGACCTTTTATTGGTATTCATTACACACATACATATCTACTGTAGTGAAAATTCAAATCAAGAAAAATGTTGACTCATGTAAAATTAATAACATTACATGCCTACTACATTAAAATATTTTAAAATCATGATTATATTTTCCTAAACAGTGACAAGAAAGGCATTGTTACGTATATGTAAACCTCTTTAATGTCTGACTTAGTAGCAGATCTTTCTCCTCTTTTAAGCCGGTAATGATACAGCTTTTGGGTAGACATACAGAAAATCCATTCTCGCACAGATTGGTAAGAGAAAAAAGAAATGAGTAGCCAGTGTAAATAACTCTAGATATTCTTGATGATCTCAAACCGAAACATGACCAACGGTAGTTCTTTACCAGTGAACTGCAGTAGGAAATGAAATTGTGGGGCTGGCGCTGTGGCGCAGTGGGTTAACGCCCTGGCCTGAACCGCTGGCATCCCATATGGGCACCAGTTCTAGTCCCGGCTGCTACACTTCCAATCCAGCTCTCTGCTATGGCCTGGGAAGCAGTAGAAGATGGCCCAAGTCCTTGGGCTCCTGCACCCACGTGGGAGACCAGAAAGAAGCTCCTGGCTCCTGGCTTCAGATCGGCGCAGTTCTGGCCGTTGTAGCCATCTGGGGAGTGAACCAGCAGATGGAAGACCTCCTTCTCGCTCTCTCTCTCTGCCTCTCCTCTCTCTGTGTAACTCTGACTTTCAAATAAATAAATAATTTTTTTAAAAAAAAACAGGAAATGAAATTGTGGCAAATAAAATTTCAATAATCTGTAATACCTCAATCCTTTCTTAAGCTTTGAATAATTTTTTTTTTTAACTTTTTGCCTTAAACTAACTCAGATTACTTTCCACTGTGACCTGAACCCATGCTCTGCAAGTTCACAACCTGGCCTTCGACTGCAGCATCCACACCACATGTCCATGTCAATTCTGGCTCCGATTTCTACAATGTGTCTGTTTCTTTCCTGTCCAAACCAGTACTAGACTATTTCTATCACTGGCTGTCTCTCCCCCAGATTTCTGAGGTAGTCTGGTCTTTGCCTGTTATTCCCTGTGCTAACTCCCCCTTTTTCCCAACATCAGTGTTAGTTACTGGTACGTTTCGCCCTAAAAACTGTCAACACTCTCCCTTACCTACCGTATACAACTCAAACTCAGTTCAGAATACTAGCCGTCTTTCAAGACTTATTTCAAAAACAACAGATTAAAAGGTATGACAGGGACATCTTAGCTATATGCGCATAAGCTAGTACATTCCTCCTTGCCTTACTGGTATTTAAGTAATATTTTTAACTCTTTTAAGAAAAGGATAAATTCACAGTCGTCACTGTGGCACAGTGATACAGTCAGTATGTATTTCCTGACCTTAATTTAAAATCCCAAACTCCAAAGTTAGTGCTGTAGGTGTACATGTTGCTATGTATATATTTCATACCAATGAGTACTCTAATTAATGAGTTATTTCACATCTGGCTTTACAAATTCCTTACTCTGAGATAGAGACACATACACAGACACCCCTCCCCCCCACGCGCGCAACAATATCTGCGACTAAGCCCCAGGTGGGTATCAGTGTCCCAACAGATACATTATTTTACCAAGTAGTTGAGAGTGTAAACTGTAAGGCGCCTCTTATTCTAGTTAAGTGTAAGGGGGAAAAATAAGAAAAACATCTTCTGCCCTGAATCATTATACAAAAGTACACTAGAAATACCATCAATAAGTTCAGGGTTTTTGTCCCACTCAAAGGCAACCCATTAATGTGGATGGACATACCTTTGTAGCAGATTCTAATGCCTCCTTATTTTTTTGTCTTTCTTCCTCCAGACATTTTCCCAATATTTCCTGTAAGTGATAAGACGGAAAGACACTAAGTGTAGGCTCTGAGGAAACAAAACATATTGCTTACATATTTTGAGCAAACTTAAAATACTACCTTCTGTTCTTGAGACTGCTGAACCAAAGCTTCCTTTATTTTTTCCTTTAAGAGTTCCTTCTCTGTGTCTAACATTTCCAGGAGCCTCTGATGCTACAAGGAGAGATAAGGGAATCAGGATTATGGCTCTGAGACCAGTATCTATTGAGGAATGTGGCTGGTAGCACTGAATTCACGTGCCCAGAGGTATACAAGTAACTCTTCTAAAAGGAAGGCATAGAACCCCAAAACACTGAACTTCCTTTTCTCCAATCTCTGTTAGTCCCAACATTCAGCAAATTCTATGACTTGAGATCTAACTAAAAAATACACCCATTTGGAAAATTAACATGAAAATGATATCTTGCTCCAAAACTGTATTTGGAAAAATCCCATCATCGGCTTGCAGCAACAACAGTAATCAGACAGTAACTCAAGTTTGCTTGGTGAAGGGCTACCGTAGGAAACACACACTCCATCTAGTAAAGTGGCAGAGAAGAAATTTAAACACTTTATTATTCCAGCATTTTAGCAGAGACTTGAAACATGAACTTAGGACATCACTCAAAGGAATATTACACAATAACTAACGTTCAAGTGTGCGGGGCTCAAGTACTTCTATTCCAATGGGCTAGTGAAAAGGCACAGAGAACCCTCCGACACCCTGAGCTGGGTGCTTGGGGCTTTCTAACGAAGCTCACCCTCTGTAGCCTCAGTATCTCCCCTACAGAAATGCCAGACGCTGTCTCAGAGCAGTGCTGGTGTGGGAACACTTTATCTGTACACATTGCTACTCACGCAGATTTCTCATTCAGATCCCACAGGGAAATTTGCTCACGTTTCAAATGCTATTGACCCGCAAGCCTCCCTTACATAGGAACTCAGCCTGACACCCAAGTTTTCAGACAGACATGTGGTTCAAAGCTGTTCTGATTCCAGCCATTTCCAGAGGAGGCAGTCTATATTTGGATAAATGACCAAACGGTCCATGTCTTAAGATAATGTTATATTCCTGCTTTTCATTTTAATGTTACTTTTCATCTGTGCTTTCCAACAGAATCAGAAACATCACATGAAAGATGTGTGGTTTTTCTTAAAAAAAAAATTCCAAACCGTGATACAAATCATGGCATGATTCTGAGAAATTATTGGTACCATATGAATTTGTGAAAGGCAGTGGACTAACAAATGAGTAGACTTACCACAGAATACACAAGGAATGACAACTGAGAGTCTAATTGTGCATTCCCAGTCTAGATGCACACAGGCTCAACAACAGTACCCAGCCCCATTTAACATTACACTTGTGAACAACAGGCTCGGATATTACACCTGACAAACAATTAACACCTGGCAATGGCAAGTACAATTCTTGAATGAGGACAAGAATGTTCCATAAAAAACACAAACTGAATAAAATTATTGTAATTAAAATACAGAACAGGCTTTTCAGAGCCATTAATAACTATGAAGTGATTTTTTTCCTTACTATTATGTCAGCAAGTCAGACTAATGGAAATCGTTAAGTGCTTCCATGTGGACCAGGTTCCCTCTGTGGCCCAAGAAGAACCCAACTCAAAGAGGGTATTTCAGCAAAGATGATTGTGTGTGTGTGTGTGTGTGTGTGTAAATTCATGCCTGACAGTTGCTTAGTTTTGACACAATGCTGTAACAGAAGATGATTTTAGATCTTGTCTGTGAACAGATAAACCTGAAGTATGCTTGAAATCCACTCACAGTAAAACCACTGATGCACCTGAGCAGACACAACCAGGGTCCTGGCCTTTCGTGTCCAGGCACAACTTTCACAGTTCCAGGCACTCCGAAAGTGTGTTGCCTGCAGCGGCACCCCATGGACCTCCTACGACAGACTGTTCTGTGTCTGCACACACTTCCCATTTCCAGATGAGTCATCTGAGACTTAGCATGAGAACTTCTCAGACCTTGAACGACTCACTCCAACAATCACCATGCCTTTCTACCCCTCACCAGTAGAAACCATTTAACAGATAAAGGCCACCCTGCACTACCTGGCCATCATCAGTACCACGGAAGCCTCACTCCCATTTCGCTGGAAGGGAACTTGACTAATCTGTGACGTCATTCTGTTCTTTGCAGGGCACTGTGGAAGCCAGATGTCAGTTCCTGAACAAGGAGCAGTCAGTATTAGGAGAGCTGATTCACAAACACGCTGAATGGCACCAGAAACCTTCAGGTCTTAACATTAAACACCATTCATTTCTACAGCAAATTATCCAATAATCCAGAAGTGGCTAATCAAGAACCACTTTCAGTTCAACTAATATAGTTATATTTGCCTTAGAAAAAGGAAGATACTCAGTGTGGAAATCATCTCCCAGGATGCCATAACCGAAAGAAATCGCTGACAGATTCTGAGCAAACGCTGTTCTGGGGGAGCTGTGTATGTAATTATGTAGATGCATGCACACGGTCACCTGACTGACACACATTTCATATTCTTTCAGAACTCAGCGGTATGCTATTATGCTTTACAGATATAATTCTATTTTTGTTCAATTTATTAAATATCTTACCATTCTGTCTGTAGACAGTGCATCCAATTTCTCATTTAAGAAAAAAATCCTGATTTGTGTGTGTGCTGTGGTGTGAGCAAGTACAAGTACAGCCTTAGGAAGAACTCCTGGAAGCTGTATAATCAGGCTGAAGACTAAGCACCTTTTACACTGCAGTGCCCACTATACTCAAAAGGAACAGCACCTAACAGCGCGCAGACTAGGGAGACAACACAGCAGGACAGATCCTCAACTGCCCCGTCAGCTAAGCAACAGAACCTCTGCACACTGGAAGCCAGGGATCCCCGCTCTATTTGTCCAGCAACAGGGAATGTTTGGACCAAGAGCTCCTGTTTATTTCACCATTTTCCCTTCTGTAATGGGGTCTCTGGGACCCTTTCGGTGTCATTTTAGTGACCGGGGGATGGGTGGATGGCATTAACAGAATGTAGGATAGAAGAGTGTTCTAATTCATCCTATTTACCAAGATTTCACATCATGTTTCAACTATTTTAATTATATCATGGACTGCTACGTGCAGGCATGTCAGGACCTCCATAAATATTATCAGTGATCCTCACAACTCAGAATGTGTTACCGAGCTGCAGAGCAGTTACACAAATTGCCTAGGCGCACAGGACCGTGGAAAGCGGAATACCAAATGCATGGATTCGAGACTCATTTCTCAGGGGCTAAGACATGAATAAGGGCTCCCACAGTCTATCGGCTCCATCTCTATGGACTGCATCTCTGAATTTTTCATGCATTCATTCCATTTATCTTGCCTTGCCTTGTAATTTATGAGTGACTTACAGTGCGGTCACGGCATATCTCCCATTCCCCCACCGTGCTCCTTATGGCACAGAAACAGATCACAAGACCACGAAACCCAGGAGGAAAGGGGGACTGCTCATCCCGTGGCAAAGGACCCTCTCCCTCCCCCCCCAAAGCAGGACTAATGTGTTTATATAGCTGAATCTCTCCCATCAGAATGCCAAGGGGCTGACGCTGTGGCACAGCCAGTTAAAGCCCTGGCCTGGAGCGCCGGCATCCCATACGGGCGCTGGTTCTAGTCCCGGCTGTTCCTCTTCCTATCCAGCTCTCTGCTGTGGCCTGAGATAGCAGTAGAGGATGGCCCAAGTCCTTGGGCCCCTGCACCTGCACGGGAGACCCGGAAGAAGCTCCTGGCTCCTGGCTTCGAATGGGCACAGCTCCGGCTGTTGTGGCCAATTGGGAGTGAACCAGCAGATGGAAGACATTTCAGTCTCCACCTCTCTCTATAACCTCTCTCTGTAACTTTGTCTTTCAAATAAAATTAAGTAAATCTTAAAAAAAAAAAATAGAATGCCAAGAAATATACAGAGCAAGACAGATAATTTTCTATCAGCTAACAAGTTTTTTTGTTTTCTAAGACATTCCTTCAGGGGAAAAAAATTTCATGAAGAAGTTAGAGGACTGGGGGTGCGCCTGCAGTTCAAGCATCCCATATGGGCGCTGGTCCAAATCCCAGCTGCTCCACTTGTGGTCCAGCTCTCTGCTATGACCTGGGAAAGCAGTATTAGATAGCCCAAGTCTTTAGGCCCCTGCACTCGCATGGGAGACCCACAAAAACCTCCTGGCTCCTAGCTTCAATTGGCACAACTGTGGCCATTGCGGCCAACTGGGGAGTGAACCAGCAGATGGAAGACACTCTCACCCCTCACCTCTGCTTCTCTGTCTACCTCTAATTTTCAAATAAATAAATATATCTTTAAAAAAAAGTTAAAGGACTAATATATAAGGCACAATTATTAAAACTAAGTTATACGTGCCTGTTAGGTAACTATTACTCAGTCTAACTGACATTTTGGGGACTAAGATAGACTACATTCTATGATAATAAACATGTGCACTGGGACCACGCAGCCCTGGAGTCAAATTACCAGCTCTATTTGCAGGAAAGTGTAGGACATAAATGCTCCCAATTCTTCATTTTCTGGTTTTTTTTTGTTTGTTTGTTTTTTGTTTTTTCCCCCTTCCCTCTGTGTAACGCTAGTAATGCCAACCCTGTGCTGTTAGGAGAACTGGATGAAGCCACATATGGGGTGTGTCTAGCACTCGAAAATGTTAACTAGACTTCCTACTGGATAGGTGGCAACATTATGATAGTGCCTTTCACTTACGAAATGCTTTGCATAGAAAGGAAAAATACTATTTGCCACTCAAAATTAAGGGCCTGAAAAGGAATGTCTACATACTTTTACAAGAACAAAGACTAGAAAAATAACCGTCAGAGTATCCCTCAGTGAAAAGTGATAATCCAAACCAGCATCATTTCAGTGCACGTTGTTGACTAACGGACTTCACGATGCACACTTTATTCCTGTCACCAAGCACCTGAACCAAGGAAAGGCAGATCAAAGACCGCAGGTGGCATCCACGCGGATTCTATGTGGCAGCTCTCTAACCTGCTATCTACCATCAGTACACACGGGGATTCCAGCATAGTCTGCCGTCAGTGCATACGCTGTCGTTCGTATCTCTAGCCGAGACAGAGAACGACCTGATCTGGGGGCGCTGTGAGTCTTTGTGGGCCTCAAC